AACATCTATGAAATGTTTCCTCTTCTAGGTTTTAGAAATTGCAGTAATAACTATATGGTGTTGGTGATCAACCCTGTACTGTGATGGATCAACATCCATCACGCTAAAAATTGCATTGAAAAGAAAAGTATTTTTCATGAAAATAGACATTTAAGAAGGAGCACTCATGAATCATACAAAGAATTTTTAGAGCTTCATGGGAGTTCTCACAGCTTCCAGTACTTCACACACTGAACGCAGCACCAAACTTTCAGGTCAGAGCCTCACACAGTGTGAAGTGGCACAGCTCTACTTGTTGGCAGGGCTTCCTTTCATTGCCTTCAGCAGAGATGCAGTAATTCCTACCAGATAGGGCTGCAGTCATTGGCTTCTGAGTGCCAGTTCTGCAATCCCATGCAAGAATATGAAAGGATATGAACGCATGTTCCTTCTCACCTGCATTTCTTTTCTAGCAATTCTCCCAATCTAGTCTTCTGGCCCTGGTCCTCAGCTTGAACTCCTCAAAATCTAACTGCTTTGTATTGACTTTCACATCCATGGATGAGCTTCGTGGTTTAACTGCTTATAAATTGAGAAATATATGAGCCAGAAGCTATTGAATAAGGGAACACAGAACTGTCCATTCTCCCTTCAGTCACAAGCACTTTTCAAGATGAATCTGTACTTAAAATATCACTTCATTAGCTGGTGGTACTTTTTTATGATACAACAGTTATAAAGTCTCTACTAACATGGTGTTTCATTCTCAGGAAAGACTCTTATCAAATTGTCACTCAGGAGTAGTTCTAATGCCAGTGACACGTTCTCAGCAGTCCACCTTCAAGCTTACAGGTGTGGTTAAACAGCAGTCAACCACCACCAAACATCCATGCTCTGGCAGTTTCTAATTAGGAAGAGAACGCAGTTAGGCTTGGGACAGGAACTTACTGCAACTACAAGCAACCACTTTAAATAAACAGCAAAAACCTCCATAACCTCACGTGAACTTTCAATTTTGTACTGTTTTGCAGCTACTATTCTCCTGTCTTCCCTTCTTTCCTTTACACTTCTCTCTCACTTTCTCCCTTACTGTCAGTCTACCTCATTTCCCAATTTTCCCATTTCCCTCTATCATCGCACAGAAGGGGGTTGCTTTCTCACACCCCCCAGCTGTCTCTAGCGTAGTCTCTTTGGCCAAGAACAACTGTGGGCTGTTGTGCTTTCCCTCTGAGCTGTTCTCATGCAACTAAAGCAACATGAGTTCTACCACCACTGAACAGTGCAGTAGGAATCTTATTTTAACTACTGCTGTTAACTGCTTTACCATGTTGCATTTATTATGTGAGCTATTTTAAGAGTTGCAGAAGACAGTTTTGTTCAGCTGTTCTAAGCGGCAGCAGTGCTGCACAGCAGAATAGGCTTGATATGACAGGCTGAGATATACACTAAAGGCCCCTTCCAAATCGTTGACTATCAGCGCACCAAAGGTACCAAAACCACCTTAAAGCTTTGCTCTGTGCACATCTAATAGCTGCCTGGTACCCATGGTGGCTTTGAGAAGTAACAGCAGATGCTCAGGTATGACAGTGATGTTCTTGCCGACGAGTCTGGGGAGTTAGGCCAACATACTGCATGCTGCTGTACAGATGGGAATAGTAATGACAGTGTTGAATTTGGACAGATGGTGACTAAAGACAGAAATGGAAGGATGTGATGCTTAGGCACAAAACACTCCAGCAACAGATCTGGGGGAGGGGGAGCAACTTAGAATGTTATGCTGTTCAGATGTTCACTTAAAAAGACAAAGAAATCCTCAACAAAATAGACAATTATCTGGGCAATATCTTGTGATCCTTAGGAAAAAGATAAAGTAATAGCAATTCTTCCCTTAAATTCATGAAAACGCACTGCAGGATGGCCACCCATTTTGTTTTTTTCACTGGTTGAACGCACACATTGTGTGCTCAGTGGATGGTATCATAACTCCTGAAGCGTCCAGGCTTCTGGTGACCAGGACAAAATACAGCTACCCTGGGAAGCTCTCTCTGAAGACAGAAAGGGCACAAAACATACCTGATTGTGGATGCCAGTTTTTCAAGTGCCCTATGTCTTTTCTGGCAAAGCCAAATAGAACATCTCACAGCAGTGTTTCTCATTAGTACTATCAGAGGACTAAGGAAAAGGACAGATTATGTTCCTATTTTCCATTCCATCCTACTATTTAACCGCATGTAAAATTGCATCTGTTTCTCTATTTGTAGAACAGTACTACAAAAAAATCACAGATACTTGCAGGAATGGATATGCTAATGTTAGTTACAGTAGACATGTGGAGTCAATTGCTGAAAGGTTGGGGAATCTCAATCACAGAAGTCTTACCATCACTAATTGTGATGTCTATTTAAAATGAAACTGAAGCACCACATGGAAAATTATTTCTCATCATTTCATTGCAATTTTTGAGGATATTTCCTTGCTATTTTCTACTGCTTTCAATTACAAAGCTACATAGGATGTTCTTGATATTGCCTGCAAAAAATGGAGCATGGATTTTTAATGTCAGGTACACACAATTCCCTTTCTATTGACTTCAATGATTTCTTTCTTGTATAAAACATGTTAAAAAGAAACAGTAGCTGTACATACAATTCTGAAACTATTACTTGATGTCAAACACCATTCCCCATGCAAAAAGATGAAAGCCCCAAAATATCTGAAAGAAGTTAGTGGAGGAAAAAACCAAAAAGATAGTTACATGATTCAGAGGAGAGGGTATAGCAGTAACTAAGAACAGCAACTTAAAATGCATATGAGGAAATGGTTCCTGGCAGCCAGATATCTTAATGCACATCTAGATGCAACTGTGCAAAGCCCTCCATGGCGGCATCTCCGAAACAGCAAATGAGATAGCTGCAACAGTGAACTAAGAATGGCATCACCGACACCCTCAGTCATACAAGCTGTCCTGAAGCAAGGGACTAATCTTTTTGACAAGGACTGTCAGGTGGGCAAAATAACCCCCTTCATACAGCATTTCAGCACTACCAGAATAAAATTAGCACCTCACCAGTATCTTCTGTGGTTACTGGCAAGTTCACTAAGATTAAAAGGATTATTTACTCAAATAATTTCCAATCTACCAGAGGAAATGTGAACGGCTGCAGCTCTGCTTAAGCAAGTGATACAATATGTGGAATGGAAATCTCACAGAAGTAGGCTGAATAATGTTCTTTATTGCTTTCCCTGTTAATACCATAACACCTAACATAGAGAAAGTCTACTCTTTTAAAGAAATTTCTCATTACCAGGATTCTATCTCATATATGAGCCTTTCTGGGGGTTGTTTTTAACATCGTTAATTGCAAAATTAAATACACAGTAATAGGAAGGAGACACAACATTGTAATTATGAAAGGAGCAGAATCTTGTCAAAAAAGCTTCCCTTGTCTCTTTTCCCTCTGTCATGTATTTGCTGCTATCTCATTTATACAGAACTTCAGCTGACATCAAAGGTAGTTCTTGATCTGGGGAATACTGAACTGTGCTAATTGAAGTGACTTATGTTGTTGTTGTTGTTGTTTGTCTCTTAACCATAATTAAAATTTATAATTGGAATTTACAACTGTGCCTGTAGTGCGTTGTTATCACAGATGATGTGCCAGAAGAGAGTTATGGTGCCTTCCCACAAGATGAAGACTAATGGCTCTGGCTCACGGGTGAGTTACACAGTTCCTTAGTGGGCACTGAGGACTACCTACTGGAAGCAAACAGTGGTTACCACATAATTTGTGGAAACAAAATTATGTGACAAATAAGCCACAGCCCATGTAGTGAGAGAGTCTGATGGATGAGATTTTCAGGTATTTTTGTCTTCATCATTTATAATTCACTCAAGCATGACACTACTAGTGATCAATATTAAAGGCCCTCAGCGAAGGAAGCCAGCACAGAACACAGTTGCATCACGTGTAACTTGGCAAGGAAGCGCAGAATCATAGCTGCATTTCACCAAACTCATGTTTCCAACTCACTGTGAGATCCAGGTACAGAGGACAAGACTAACTATTGCGCTGGGTTTATTTCTGAGATATTAGGAGGATTCATTTGCTGCACAGACAAATAACTTAAAAGACAGTTCCATGGGTAAAACCACATTCCATAACTAAAGTAGAGCATAATGGGGTTCTTTTGAGAAAGGAAATATAAAAGGTAGTCAGAGAAAAAAATTACTCAAACTGGAGGGATTTTTCAGTTTCTCCAATCACTCCCACAAAGACATTCATTTCTTTAAGTCATTTCTGCTGATGTTACTTTTCAGAGTCAGACAATCTGCACACCTGTCTTTGACAAGCATGTTCTAGACATGCTATTTATTTTTACTGTCCAGATTTGCCTAGAAACACTTTCCTCTATGGCAATATACTTAGCCACTTGGAGAGATAAAATGTCTTAACCCTCTTGTTTGCCTATTTAATAAATCCAGCTGTTGTGTAAGAAAATGGAAAGCTTTTGGTAATTTGAATCTTTGGCACATACTAGAGTAACAGGACAACAGCAGAGAAAGAAAAAAAGGAGCTTTAGAAGAAGGGCTTTCACAAAAACAGCATTTGGAATTTGACAAAGCTATATGGTGTCGAGTATAAAAGATGTTGCTTTAGATAATGTATAAATAAACTGTGAGTATACATATGTATGTATGTAAAATGTTTTAAAATGCATTGTTTCATTCATGTGACATGCACAGTTAAAGATCAGAAACGAAAGCTTTTATCAACAAATCTGGGTCAGTGCCGTCTCTTTCCTTAGGTTCTTTCAAAATGAATAAACAAACTTCATCGTCAAAGCGCTAATATACCAGTGATTCTCAATTTAGGGCAGAAATAACGTCCTAGCTTTCTAGAAAAGAGCTACTAAACAGCTTAGGGAGGTACTGTTGCAGGAAAACAACAGGTACAAGATGGTTGCTCCTACACAGTCTACTAAGAGCAGCAGCAATGTGAGAGATCATTATAGAAACTAACCTGTGGTGTCATTCCATGGCAGATATACATGATTGGAATATTCTCCGTGTCTGGCCCTTGATCAAGGCACAAATCACTTTTCAGGGAATTCTGCAGCTAAAAGAAACAGAGAAAGAAATCAAGCAAGTCTTACATGAGAAAAATATGGCGTGATTATTTTCTTTTTGTTGCAAAGAAAATCATACTTAGTTGAGCAAGGAAATATGCAAAATTAAAAATATTTGTAATAGTGAAGATATTGAAGAGAAAGCACCTGGACTAAATCCTTCCCTGTAGATAATCTAACACTACCGATTTCAATAATGTTGCATGAGGTTTCAGGGAGGGTAGATTTCAAAAAGCCTTTAGTGATAGCAATAATTTTGATGTAAGTTTTCAAAATATTAACTCTAATGCAAAAGACAAGTTTTTCACTAGTGCAGCTAGCTGAGCAGTATGGATGGAGTTTCAAACACAGGAGAAACCCTGTAATTAAACAGCTTTTCAGAATCACTCAGGAGAGTCTTTTGATATCTGGAAACAATTTTTTTAAAAATCCTTTCTGCTGACACGTAGAAACTTCTGGCCAATTGGTATGCACTAGCTCATCTTTGCATTATTCCAGGCTAACCCACACACAGCAATCTAGCTATGGACAGACTGCAAAGGACTTGGCCCTGTTCATCACAAAGCCCTATATATTACCTGTGCAATGCTGAGACAGAATTTTCTGAAAGTGAAGTACTAAATTAATGAGCACAGACAGCTGGAAGGTCTTTTTAGAGCGTGAGGCCAAAGATGTGGATTGCATACCCATGGGCATGTATAAAGGTGTTCAGTGGTATAAGATCAGTTCAGAGAACATGAGAGAATTGTCTGATGGAGGGAGTGAAGAGGTGATGTGGTTTGCAACCATTTGTGATTAACTGAGCAGTCCTGTCAGCTGTGCACAGGAGCCTCCTTTGAGGAAAACAAATTGATATGCTTAGAAAGGAAGTCTAGAAGTGCACTAGTATGTAAGAAGGGCAGATAAACCAGAGACTGAAGCCAGGCAGTGAATAAAATCAAAACATGAACTCATCTGTACAAGATTTCCAACTCCAAACCTACCTCTAAATTCAATAATAAACAGGACAAATCACACCATTAAGAGAAAATATGCATTAGATATCAATACTGCCCTTATTCTTATCTTCAAGCCTTGAGAATTAGTTTCCTCTGTCACAGCTTTGTATTTCTTAAGCCATAAACAAAACCACAACCATGACCCTAATCATAATCAGATGTTAGCCACCATTCTCTGTCCAAACCAATGATAAAAATCAGCCTTATTACTTCATGCCTGGATCCATTACTACCTCTGGCTTTTCAAAACCTCTTCCACAAACTCAAATTCTAATGCTTATCCTAGCCTTAATGTTATAAGCTCTTCCACAACAATCCCCATAAGGAAGAAACTAAAAAAATCTGCCCTGACCAACATTAGCATGTGACTTAGCTGAGAGGTCTCACCCAGCAGTAAAACACATACAGAGACTTTAGAGTCCCAAGCTCTAGTAAGAAACATGACTTTATCCCTAAAAGCAGCTGTCTGGTAATCAGGCACTACAGAAAAAGAGACAAAATGCTATATTCTGGCCAGAAAAGCCAATGGCTTCTTGGCCTGTATTAAAAACAGTGTGACCAGCAGGTCCAGGGAGGTGATCATCCCCCTGTACTCGGCACTGGTGAGGCCGCACCTCGAGTGCTGTGTTCAGTTCTGGGCCCCTCACTAGAAGAAGGATGTTGAGATTCTGGAGCGTGTTCAGAGAAGAGCCACAAGGATGGTGAGGGGTCTGGAGAACAAGCCTTATGAGGAGCGGCTGAGGGAACTGGGCTTGTTTAGCCTGGAGAAGAGAAGGCTGAGGGGAGACCTCATCACCACCTACAACTACCTAAAGGGAGGTTGTAGAGAGGTGGGTGCTGGTCTCTTCTCCCAGGTGATGGGGGATAGAAGAAGGGGAAATGGCACCAAGCTGTGCCAAGGGAGGTTCAGGTTAGAGATAAGGAGGAAGTTCTTTACTGAGAGGGTCGTCAGAAGCTGGAACAGGCTGCCCAGGGAGGTGGTGGAGTCACTAGCCCTGGATGTATTTAGAGAGCGTGTAGATGAGGTAGTTATGGATATGGTTTAGGGGGTAGACAGGAATGGCTGGACATGATGATCTCAGAGGTCTTTTCCAACCGAGCGATTCTGTGATTCTGTAATTCCTTTTAACACCAGTCCTTTTCTTATGAAACTTGAAAACAAAATTTAAAACTGGATCTTCAGATTTAATTTCTCAAACTCTTATCTCAATCACATCTCTACAATTAACTCCAAATATCCATAGAGAAATGATCCCTACAGAAAATAGAAAGACAAAAAAAGCCACTGGCTTGTTAATTTATAATACTGTTTCAAAATCGGAGGCCCAGACTGTTAGGAACCACCCCTTTCCAAAACCTAGTGGTTCTGTGGCAACCAACAATTAACTTGGAAAATGCAGTTTTAGAGCGTCACAATTTAATCTTAATTACAACCCAAATATAACCAAGTTGCCAGTCCCCATGCTGAAAAACAAGGGGATAATTAGTCAATACTGCCATTTCCTCCCTTTCAAACTTAGAGCCTTACAGAATACAGAGATACACTAGACTACTGAAATTCTGAACTCACAAAATTATCTCAAACATCAAGCTGAAATCAGGGTGCCAATTCCCTAC